ACTGAGAAAGGAGAAGCAGGAAGAGACTGACACATTTGCTGAGGGACTGATGTTCTGGAGCTACGGTTTGAATCTAGGTACCTGGTACCCTTCACCTCACTTCTAGAAGTTGGCCTTCCTGATTAGGAACTGGGTTCCCATTCTAGGAATTCCTTGCTTAGGTTAGGAGTGTGGGTTCCTTGAGACCAGGGAAACTCAGAGAGTCTTACCTTCTGGGTACCCCTAGGCTCTGGGGCTGAGCTGGAGCCCTGGAATGAGAGAGAGGTGCTTTGCCTGTCCTTGCAGGCACTTTCTCTCTGGTACCCATCTGGTACCCATCCTTGTGTTCCCAGGGACTTCAGGTAAGAATAGCAGGAAGCAGTGGTATAGAGGCAAGGCAGCATGCCTTCTTGATTCTGAGATACCCAGATGTTGTTCATACATCCTGGCCACCTCCATGTCCTTCGTGTCCTTGCCTAGATTGTCTTGTCCTTTTGGGACCTGGGTCCTGCCCATATTCTGACTCTTAGTTTCCCCAGCTATGTTGTTTCAGGAGCATGTCCTTAAAGGCTGTTTGCTTCTCACTTCATGCTAATTCCCTCCATAGGCCACCATGGACAGAGGCCAGTCCCTGCCCCTCCCTGGTGACTCGGCTGCATCCCTGCGCCCCCTGAAGGCTGAGGGGATGGTGAGTGTTGGCAAAGTCCTGTTGGCCCATCCAGAATGGTAAGTACTGCTGCTGTCCTTGGTGCCCTCCTTAGGCCCTTGAGCAGTGGGGTAGGATGGTGGCAGAAGTGGGTGCAGGGCTGCCTGGAGAGGATGTGGTCTAGGGGGCTGGAGGGGGAAGCCCTGCCGAGGCGGCAGGCAAGCGAGGTTGCTGAGCATGGGAACATCTGATTTCTTCAGAGGTGGGGTGATGCGGGGGTGGGGACGGGGAAGCCTTATGTTCTTAACAGCTTAGGCTGGGAGCTCTGGTCCAGGGCTCATGGGTGGATAGGGAGGAGGTGGCAGCTGCTCTCAGGGCAGCCTGTGCATGCTTCCAGGAAGCTGAAGGGTTGGGTGGGTAGCTGAGGGCTGGGAGCACAGCAAGGGCATGTGGGTTTGGGGGTTGGCCTGTTTCCAGGGTGTGGGTACTGCACCAGGGAGGTACAGGGCCTGAACTATACCTGCCAAGCATGGGACCACCCCTGTCACCATGGCGTTATTCACCCAATATTCTTGAGAAGGAAAATCCCAAACCTGTGGCCATCCCCAAGATGTGTTCTTAGCCATCTGATTTGCCCTTCCACTTTGAGAGAGTTGCAGAGGATGTGACTTCTCATGGCCCCCTGCAAGGAGGGAGACAGTGAAACCAAGAATCCAGAGACTGGCTGGTAGCGGAAGACAGCCTTCTGCAGATGGGTTTTTTTACAGGGCCCCTGAGACCCAAGGCACTGGGATGAGGCTAAGGGAACCCAAGATTTGGTCACCATGCCTCGGGGAGCTAGAATTCAACTTGGTGACCTGGCGACCCTGGACATAGACCTGGTACTCTCTCCCTCTTTCCTTGGCACATGGGGCCATGTTCAAGCAACAGTCCTTCAGGTGTGGGAGATTCTAGAGCAGAGGTCTCAACCTTCCTAAGACTGTGATCCCTTAGTATAGCTCATGTTGTGCTGACCCCAAATGTGAAATGATCTTTGTTGCTACTTCATCACTAAATTTGCTACTGTCATGAATCGTAATGCAAACATTTATGGTTTTTTTTTATAATTTATTTTTACTTTATATGTATTGGTGTTTTTCCTGCACATATCTCTGTGTGAGGGTCCCCTGGAATTGAAGTTACAGACAGTTGTGAGCTGCCATGTGGGTGCTGGGAATTGAACCCATGTCCTCTGGAAAAACAGCCAGTGCTCTTAACCGCTGAGCCATCTCTCCAGCCCCACATTTGTGTTTTCCAGTGCTCTTAGCTGATCCCTGTGAAAGGTTGTTTGGTCCACAGGTTGAGAACCACTGCTCTAGATGCTTGTAAGGCCACTCATTGGCTCCCTCAGCATCCTCAGCCCTGTTGCTTTACGCAGAGCTGGTGATTGTGGGGCAGGGTCTTGTGGAGGTAGCTGGAGTAGGAAACCGGGTATGAGGTCAGCCCGGAGGGAAGCAGGGGAGGACTAGGGAAAGGCTCCTGGGAGCTGGGCTGAGTGTGCACCTGGGAATCAGTGTCTTTTTGGCAGTGGGCTCCATAACATCAACTTGGGTTGGGGACAGGGAGAATTACTGTAAGTGGAAGAGGTGTGTAGCCCTGGTCAGCAGAGGAGATCTGGACTCTGGAAGCACGTGAGTCAGGATGGTAACAGGGGCCAGGTGTCTCCCTCCTCTTGGCCCATGTTTCTACCCCCACCTGAACACCCAGCCTTCCCATTGGGGGCAGCATTCTTGTTTGCCCTGTTGTCTAGGTGATGGGAATGAGTGGAACTCCCATGTCAAATACATTGCCAGTGCTGCCCTAAGGGGCTGCCAGCCAGAGCCCTGTGAGTGCTAGAATTGCTAGTCTTGTGACGTGGGCACCTGTTTGCCAGGTCTGGACATGGGCCCAGGGTCATGCTCACTCTGGGGCTCCCGTCAGCTGACTATTCTGGGCTCTTGCTGACCTGGGCCAAAGTCGGTCCCTGAGGCGGCTCTCCCAGTCCCCAGAGGCCAGCTCTGGTTTCTGCTATATAAACAGAAGAGGACACACTGACTTGGGGACAGTTCCCATCCAGAGTCTGCTCTGAAAGTATATGGCCTTAGCTGGGAAGGGCAGGCCGTCACAGTTCCCCACTGGGTTTCTCGAGGCTGTGGAAAGAGCCCCACTAACCCTGGATTCTTCCTTTGTTGTCTGGGGTTGTGAGGACGAGAGCTGGTAAGTTTGAGGAGTGGGGACACTGAGGCACAAAAAAACTGGGCTGTTTGGATTTCCTTTTCCACTCCTCCCATCTTGCCAGATGTTTTCCATTGTGAATGGCATGCTGAGTCCTTTGGCTTTGAGGGGAGGGAAAAGAGGATGACTAAGGATGTTAGACAGTCGTGGAACTGGAGCTGTAGCATGGCCGCACTTGGTGATGGAAATCAGACCTGGAGATACTTCAGGACTGACAGTGGGGACATAGGGGAACGGTTGCCCTCTCCTCCCTCCGAGAGACTGCCCACGGGTTGTCCATGTGGCCTGGTGGAGGCCTCTAGGTTGCTCAAGTAGAGGGGAAATAAAGTGATCTAGATGCCTGCCAGGGGATCTCAGGGTTGTTCTCTGGCTAGGGACCCAGGCTCCCTGTCCTGTTGGGCTATCTCAAGATTACTTTCTGAGTAGGGACCTGTGCTCTCTGTCCTGTAGGAACCGGCCACTGGGCTGAGGGAAGATCTCTTGCCGTTCCCCATCTTGCTCACTTTCCCTGCTGTCTGTCCCATCTGGGAGCTGAGAAGCAGGGTTGTACTGAAGCCAGCTAGCCACAAACATGCTCCCTGGGACCTGGGCCAGAAGCAGCCTCTTACGTGGGAAGCTCCCACACTCTCCTCCTCCTTCAAGTTTCCCCTTCTGGACAGGGTCTCTAACTGAATCCAGAGCCTACACTAAAAATACTTTAACAATAGGAAAGTGTGGCGGCCTTCCCTGCTCCTTATCAGGGAGGCTTTATTTTGAATTTGGCTTTGTGCTGAGGAGGTTGGGTGGGGAGGAGACCTTGGGTAGGGCTAAGGAAATTTGGTGGGTGTAGTAATCCTGGCGGGACACCCTCCCAGGTGGAGGACTGGATGGTAAAGATGCCCCCAAAGAGCCTGTTAGGGGGACAAATGAGGCAGCTTTTCTTGAGGACTTTGACCTCCTCGGTGCTTTCCTGCTCAGGCTGCCAGTCCTTGTTGAGGTCTAACCTTCTTCCTGTATACTGTGTATTAATTTCTTCAGCCTGGGAGGTAGATGGGGTAGAAAAATCACAGGATTGCAGGCTTCTGTGACCAGTTTGCCGCCTCCCGCCAGTGTTAATCTAGCTGCATTCCTCAGTGAGCTTCTTGCGTTGCTCCTGTTTTCTCTCAGCCCCTCAGAGGGGAGGCGCTACTGTTTAGTTCTCAGAGAGGGAGACTGTAACCCTGGTCCCTGTCTGTCCCTTGCCACTCTCTGCTACAGATTTCTGACATCCAGGTCGAGTGCTCTGTTTGGGTGTTCAGCTTTTCCCTCCAGTGAACTGAATTCCCCACCCATGGAACTTACAGTGTTCACATGGGAAATGATTTCCAAGGGGCCAAGGGACTTGTCCAGGTTTCACTACAAGGAGATTTGCTGGCTTGGAGCTCTTCCAGAGCTTGCCTGTATTTGAGGGAGTCGGGTGCATGCTTTATGGGCTAACCTGGGAACTCAAACTGGAAACCTGTTTTGTGGGGGAGCAAAAATCTCTGGGCACTGCAGGGCCTGGAGAAGGACCAGGGGATGAGAGTTAGAAACCTGGTCTTGATCTTTCACCGAGGTTCCCAGAGCTGCCATGGGAAGCCCCTGGGGCAGCAGGTAACGGTGCCCGCTGCTAGGGCAGGAAGTGGAAGTGGCCTGGTCCTGGCAGCATGGGGCTGAGCAGGGGAAGCTCCTGGGGCCACTTCTCAGTGGGAGGAAACAAATTACTTGACCCACCCATGGGAAGAGCTTGGAGGCTGTGGGTGGGGACAGTCTTAGTAAAAGTGGGGGAGGTTCCTGCCCTCCACATTACAGGGTGGGGCCCAGTCCAAGGGGCATAGGGCATCGTGGGAAAGGGCTGTGTGAGTCGGGTCCCACTTCCCCTATTCCCTGTTTACCCAACTGAGGAATGGTGGTGGACGTTGCTAGCTCAGGCCACTTAGTGATGGAGAGTAAAGGCCATAAAAGAAAAGGCCTCTGCAAGGGGAGGCGGCCATCACCTTTGTGTTGCTCACACATAGGCGGGGATAGAGCTGAGCTTGAGTCTGTAATTCCCTATCATACTGTTTCTTCCCCCTCACCTGCTTTTTTTATTTTTTTTATTTTATTTTATTTTTTTTTTTTTTGAGGCTGAGCCTGAGTATTGTACCAGGTTAAACCTGAACTCTCGGGGCTCCTGCCTCCGAGCTAGGAATACAGTGCTTTTCTAGTGTCATTATGGTTCAGCTCCTCGTGACTCCTTGTGTAACCTTGATAGAACAAATGTCTAATGAGAAACAGCTGCTGTGATTTCAGAAACATACACTTGAATGATCTTGAACTCCGTCAAATCCAGCTGCATCTGCACCCACTTACACCAGTGGTCTCCACCTTCTGAATGCCATGGTGACCCCCCCACCATAAAATTATTCTTGTTACTACTTCATAACTGTAATTTGGCTACTGTTAAGAATTGTAATGTAAATATCTGTATTTTCTGACCCATGTGAAATGACTGTTCTACCCCCAGAGGGGTCATGACCCCATAGGTTAAGAACCGCTATCATAGGGTAAAAGCTTGGGAATGTAGTCTGATGACCTCTCTAGAGCCAACACAATTGGGGCACAGTCATCCAAATCAGGAACTGGCATGCTTCCAGCCCCATCACGGACTCCTATGGAGACACCTGTAACAGACTGTGGCCATAACTGCCTCTGTGGTGGGTGTACAGGAATCCAGGTCAAGGCAGTGTGGTCAGCAAGAGCATGGAACAGGAGTTGGAGGAATCTGTTTATAAAATGGATGATTTCAAGCTCAGTCAGGATGGGCAGGAAGAGGCTAAATGGGTGGATTTGGGTTTGGTATCTTAGCCCAAGGTCTGGCCCTTTTTAGTATCTTGTTTCTGGGCCTGCCTCCCTACACTAGTGGGAAAAGACTTATTGGGAGTCAGAGGCCAGACAGGACTCCAGCAGTGGCTGAGCTAGCACCGCAGGGACGGCTGCTCCCAGGAATCAGCTGAAGGGCTTCGTAGGGCTGGGTGCTGGTGTGTATTGGCAGGGTGGGCCCTGCCGTGGGCCTGACTGCAGCACTGGCTTTTGTCTGCAGACTGTTACCTCTCCTCCCTACCCTCCATGGGTTGCAGGTGTTCGTCTCTAGTTTTGGACATAGCTCCCAGCATTACTCATTTCTCCTACCTCCAGTGAACAGTTGATCCTGGTGTGAGTCCTGAAGACAAGACTTGGTGCTCCTTTGAGAGGTTTCTGTCTCGTCTGGAACCAGGTTTGCTCTAGGTCTCCTAGAGATTACATCAGTCATGAACCTACTTCCACTTCTCGCAGAGCCCTAGGCTTCTCTTCTTGAGCAGCCTCTAAGCCTTTTTGCCTTTCTTCTCTCTGGGCTAGGCTGCATGCATCATCGCTCTGGTACCTGCATGGGTGGCCCCCGCTATGACTCCCTAGAGGAGCTTGTTCTCCTTACTGATGACTTGGAGTGGAGTGAGTTCAGATCTCTAGCATCACACTTCCACACAGCGGCTGTAGTTTCTTACTGTCCTCCAGCTTTGGGGCAGCAAGAGGGCAGTCTACAGTGTGCGGTGGCTCGAGGGGCTGGCCTGGGTGGCGGTGCAGTGTGGAGGTATCCATAGCGAGTTCCCTGGTGCTTACCTGTCAGCTTCTACAGGGTGGTCTGTGCCACTTTGTGCAAAGGCAAAATGGTGGGGAGGGAGGAGAACGCTGGAACTCAAGTTGGAGCTAAGACTGGGCCTCAGCACACCCTGGTGAAGACAAGACAGTGCACCTGCTGCTGCTGGCGGGTACTAAAGCCATTTTGGAAGTAGAGGGAGGCATCCAGGGTTGGGTGGAGAGAGCAGGTGGGGAGCAGGGGACACAACCAGAGCAGGCGTGCGGCTCCTCCTTGAACCCCTGGATCCTTCCGCGTTCCACGTCCCTCTCACACTTCAACTTCCACCAAGCGGCCTAACAGCTCTTTGGAAGGTGGCTTGACAAAGTTCGGAGCTGTAGACTCAGTAACAGCAAGACTGCATGTTGTCTTGGGGGTTCTGGTAACTTCTGGTCAGGCTGTCGAATGACACCAGCAGTGTATGAAGGCTGCTCCGTATGTAGTGAAGACTGAGAAGGAAGCGACGGGCTGGTTAGGGAGGTCTTTTCTGGAGAGGGGATGGAATCCAGGTTACAAATGCCAGGCAAACATTCTAGCACCGAGCTACACCCTCAGCCCGGTTTTTTAAAAAGGGGTATGGCCAGAAAGGGAGGTCGTTGGGTATTCCCAGTTAAGGCTGCTGTACCAGTGGGCTGGCATTGGTTGTGGTTGGCAGCAGAAATGGCGGGTAGGGACAGACAGATATTTCAAAGAATTCCAGTTGGGGAAAGTTGGAGAATATGCTCTAAACCTCTGAGCCTTCTCTCCAGACTTCTTTGCAGCTTGGGCTGGGCTGGGCACGGGTAAGGTGACACCTGAGCAGAGAAATAGGCTCCAGGTGGCTGCAGCCTGGTCTGCCTGTGAATAAAGTTCTGGAAGGCCCGGCACTGCCAGTGGTAACTAGTTAGAGCCGCTCTCTTCCCTGCTGCCAGAGAAGCAAGGCAGGTGCTTCCACATCAGGACTGGGGCCAGGGAATTGGCAGGAGGGCGTGAAAAGAGCCCCTTGCAGATGGCCCTGGGTTCAACTCCAGTGTGCCACCACCTAGCTGAGTGACCTTGAGCAAATGTCATTATGTCTCTGAGTCTATTTATAAAATGGGGAAGAGTTGGCATGAGTTTGGAGATTTCTCAGGCTCCACCCGGTTCTGAAATTCGGCAATTTCTCAACTAGGGTGCATCCATCCTGCGAAGGGTTAGGGGGGCCACTGGTGAGAAACTACCATCAGTTCGTAGCAGAATCTCTTAGGCCAGAACAAAGCCATGACCTTTGGGAAGAGACTTTGAAAGCCAGATCGTCCATTGCCAGGAGCAAGGCTAGGGTTCTAGTTGCCATTCCTGGGGCCAGAGACCTTGCTGGGCAATACGCGTCAATTGCACAGCATTGCCAGCACTTGAGGTAGGGGCACAGCCCACCTTCCCATCTCCTGGGTGTGTCCCAGAGTTGCTTGCCACAGCTCTGGACTACTCTGGCTGCCGGCAGTGGCAGAGTGACACCCTAGGTGCCCAGGACAGGCTGGGAACGGGGCAAAGGCGGAGCAAAGCCCGGGGTAGAGTGGGCAGGAGGGAGCGGGCGCGGTAGGCACTGGGAGCAGCTGGAGGGGAGGAGATCCTGCTCCGGGGAAGCCCTGCGGGTGCGGCTCAACAACACCCCCTCCTCCCGGTCGGTTATTTCGGACCCCGGGACCCGATCCCGGGTCCGGCTTGGGAGCCTAGCAGGTTTGGAAGCTGCTATATTTAGCCCGCTCAGCGGGCGAGAGGAAAACTATTTATAGATCAAACAATCCGCACTCCCTGCGTCAATGGAACCCCGCGTGCGTCACGCGCACAGACATTCCAGGCCCCCCCTCTTCGCCCCGCCCCCTCGGGCTCCCCGTCCCCGCGCCTCCTCCTGGCCGCCTCCCGCCGGAACCGCGCCGCCCCCCGCGCCCTTGTATGGCCAAAGCTCGCCGGGCCGCGTGCGTCAGTGGCGCCCCCGCCCCTCCCCTTGCGTCACGGAGCGCTTAAGAGGAGGGTCGGGCTCGCCAGGGGAGCCCCAGTGCAAGAGGTGGTGAAAGTTGTGGGAGTGTGCAAGAAGGACTGCGGAGCACACGCGGTACCGGGTTGCGACTGGGTCGCTGTTCCCGGCCAGAGGGAACAGCAGCCGGCCGGGTAGGTATCCCGCGGGGAGTGTACGTCTGTTTCTATAGGTGGTGCACGAATGAGATGGGTGTACGCGCGGGCGAAAAGGATGTCTTCGGGTTGGCTTGCGAGGATGGGTGTGTAGAGTGCATCTGTGGTGTTAAAAGGTAGCACTTGGAATGGAGTGAGCTCGGGCTTGAGGTTTGGGGACTGGGTAAAGGGTCTGCAAGAGTGCAGGTAGGTTGTGGAGGCTTGACCAGCGGTTGTTTTTTGTCTTGGTTTGGTTTTCCCCAGGGCGCCCAAAGATGCACATCGTCCTCTGTGTTTGGCTGCTGATTGTGGGGTGGGGGTGTGTGTGAGCATCTTGAGGGGAGAAGGTATACAGTAGAGCTTCCGCGCGACTGGGATCCATCCAGCTCCGTATAGGATTGGATTTCCTCGCGTCTCCCTCCAAGGCGGTTAGCCCCTTTCACAGTTGTTTACTTAACACTTTATAGGCTGTAAAATTTCAGATTTCCCCTACTGAACTTTCTGTCTGATCGGCACAGGAAGACCTGGGGATTGCTGAAGGAAATGGCTAGCTAGATTGGCGGGGGTAATTGCTGTGCTGGACTAAGTTGGCAGGGTCAGGGTGTCTAGAAGCATAGAAAGGATGTTTTAGCCCTACCCTGGTGCAGTCGGAGAAAGGGGCACGTGGAGACTGGGTGGAAGTTGCTTATGCTGGAGTCTTAGTGTGGTACTGACTAGGGGATAACCCTCTTGTCGATCCAGATTGGCTTGCAGATCACCCCAGTGGTCCCTGTTGAATCTGTTAAGTAGCATGCAGCCTGAGGTTTGTTCACCTAACAGGTGCAAGACACTGTGTTGCCAAGACCTGCCCTAAGCCGGATTCTCCCACTCCCTCCTTCAACCCCGCCTCTTCCTTCTCCTCCCCTTGGGACTACTTCCCCCCCCCCCCCCCCCAGGCTAGATACAGGTCTCTATCTTGTGTGTGTTGCTGACTGTATGCCTGAAGCAGGGTAGATTGGTGGGGGTTGATCCGGATGTAGGATGTCCAAGTGGAGAAACAGGATTTGAATGAGGCTGGAACAAATGCCCAGTCCTGACTGGCTGCCACTCTTTTTCCTCCACCCCCAGCCCATCCCTGCCTAGGCTTCTGCTCGCAAGCAGAGGCAGAAGTGGCCATGTTTATTTCTCACAGGTGCTGTATGCCTGAGGGAAACGCCACTGGGCAGACAGGGCTGGAACTTGAGGGTACTATTGTTTGGGTGGTTGCACATCAGGCCAGGGGTGGAGCTGTCCTGTCCAGGCACCTAGGGGTGGGGTGGGGATGGAAGAAATACTGGACAAGAGGGCTTCGAGAACTTCTGGACAGCAAGTGGTGACAGTCTTTGCCCCATTACTGCCCCATCTCCTGCGCCAGCTTGAGTTCCTGTGTGGCTTGCTAGGAAGGCTAGGACTGTTCCAAACTCCAGACTTGGAGTTTGGAAAGGACACGAGGTCCTGGAGCCACCTCTGAAGGATTTCTCACCAGACAGAAACATTTCTATCTCTGATCTTCCAGGTGCTCACTTTGGGGAAGGGGAGTGTGACTTTGCCAAGCCCCTGAATGCTTTAAGAAACAGACATCTGGCCGGGCGATGGTGGCGCACGCCTTTAATCCCAGCACTTGGGAGGCAGAGGCAGGCGGATCTCTGTGAATTCGAGACTAGCCTGGTCTACAGAGCTAGTTCCAGGACAGGCTCCAAAGCCCCAGAGAAACCCTGTCTCGAAAAACCAAAAAGAAAAAAAAAAAAAAGAAACAGACATCTGCTTTAGCAGAGGAACATAGGCAGGGACAGGTTGTCTTCTTGTACCTACCAATAGGTTCCTGCACTCTGCTAACAAGCTCATAGCTCCCGCTGGACTCTGAGTGTCCTCTTATAAAAACGACCAGGTTAGCTGAGAAATTCCTTTTGAGGGTGGTCCTTTCTCCTGTGTGTCCAGAGGTTCCTCTCTGGGTCTACCTGCTCAGTCTCTCACCTCCCTCCAGTATATGGTACTTAAGACTTTGTTCTTAATTATTTTTAACTCTGTGTGTGTCTGCGCGCGCGCGCGCGGGCATGAATGCACACGCGCACACACAAATCCTATAAGGGTAGAGGCATCAGATGCTCCAGAGCTGGAGTTATAGATGGTTGTGAGCCACCTAATATGGGTACTGGTACCTGAACTTGGGTCCTCTGGAAGAGCAATGCCTGCCCTTAACCACTGAGCCATCTCTCCAGCCCCCAGTATATGGTATTTAAACGTCTGTAGCTGTGTTACCCAGTAATTCTCCCAACGCCTGAAAACATCCCAGAAAGTACAGAGTTGGGGCACAGTCCCAAATAGTAGGACCAGGTACCTGTGGGATCAGCACACAGGGCTGAAACGGGGCAGGGATCTGGCACTGCCTTGCTCCTAAAACCACTGTGGTAGACAGTTGTACCATGTCCCGCAGCTTCTCCTTTATTTCCTGGATGTCTGTGGAGGCAGACACTGTGGGTGGAAGTGAGGAAGGGGTATGCAGAGTCTGGGGTGTGCCTGGGAATGTATTCCCAGGAAGTGCCTGGTTGAAAAACCAGCAGATCTGCTCCTGGAGCTCTGTGGGTTGCCTCTCCCAGCCCCCACCCATGAACAGGAGGCTGAGAGTTGGAGGCACACAGCTTCCCCCTGTTCCTGCAGGGAGGTGCTGGTTAGGTGCCTTCCGTAGGGTTCCCAGACCCATGTGGCTGGCCTTCGGACTGTGCTCTCTGGGACTGGGTCTCTGGCCATGAGCTTTGTGGCTCATAGAGTGAGATAGTGCCTAGGCTGGGGGATGAGGATTCCTGGGTTCTGTGGTACCGCCACCTGGCTGCCTTGGGTCTATCAAGCAGTTTGCTTCTTCTTACTGGCTCCTCCCCTTCCTCTGTGGGTCTCCTCCTTCTCCAGAGATGCCCTGTATCCAAGCCCAATATGGAACACCAGCAACAAGCCCAGGACCGCGTGACTACCTGACGAGTGACCCCCTGGCCCTTGAGTTCAGCAAGCCTACCATGGACCTGGCCAGCCCTGAGGCAGCGCCCACCGCACCCACCACCCTTCCCAGCTTCAGCACCTTCATGGACGGCTACGCCGGAGAGTTTGACACCTTCCTGTACCAGCTGCCGGGGACAACCCAGCCATGCTCCTCAGCTTCTTCGTCAGCTTCCTCCACGTCTTCTTCCTCATCCTCAGCCACCTCTCCCGCCTCTGCTTCCTTCAAGTTTGAGGACTTCCAGGTGTATGGCTGTTATCCCGGCACCCTGAGTGGCCCATTAGATGAGACCCTGTCCTCCAGCGGCTCTGATTACTATGGCAGTCCCTGCTCAGCCCCGTCGCCATCTACACCCAGCTTCCAGCCACCCCAGCTCTCTCCCTGGGATGGCTCATTTGGCCACTTCTCCCCCAGCCAGACTTTTGAAGGCCTTCGGGCATGGACAGAGCAGTTGCCCAAGGCTTCTGGGCCTCCACCACCTCCAACCTTCTTCTCCTTCAGTCCCCCAACGGGTCCCAGCCCCAGCCTGGCCCAGAGTTCTCTCAAGCTGTTCTCACCACCGTCCACCCACCAGCTTGGGAAGGGAGAGAGCTATTCCATGCCAGCGGCTTTCCCTGGCTTGTCACCCACCTCTCCGAACCTTGACACTTCCGGGATTCTGGATGCACCTGTGACTTCCACCAAGGCCCGGAGTGGGGCTTCCGGTGGCAGAGAAGGCCGCTGTGCTGTTTGTGGGGACAACGCTTCCTGCCAGCATTACGGGGTCCGCACCTGTGAGGGCTGCAAGGGTTTCTTCAAGGTATTTTTCCATTTTTGGGTGTCTACAACTTGTTGGGAGTGGGAGTGGAGTGGGCCATCATATTGAGATGGGAAGTGACCTTCACAGCTGGTTCTGTCCTGCAGGAATCAGGGACAGTTGTATCATTTCCCCAGGGACCCACCAGTTTCAGACCTGGGACCCTTCCTTCACGAGGGCCCACAGAGCTGTAGGCCTGTAGAAAGCTAGGGAAGGGGGGCAGAAGGTGTGGCCCACAGTGGTGGTCAGGAAAAGAACTTCTAGTGGGCAGCCTCTGGTTCTGCTCTGTCCCCACCCTCACCCTGGTAACAAGGGGGCCACAGGCACTTGTGTTCCTGGCACTGGATGAAAGAGTCCAGGCAGAGGGTTTGGTTCTTGCAGGCTGGGGGTGGACTTAGGAACAGGCTGCGTGTTTGTTCCAGTGCTGGGTGCCCGCTTGGCTTCCCTTCTCCACCCCCATCCCCTTAGCGCTCCCTTCCTTGTCCCAGGAAAGGACAGGTGGACACAGGCAGACACCTGTTCAGAACGGGTGTCTGGACAGCCTTGGGAGTCCCTAGCATAGTCTTGGGTTCTGGAATCTTGCTTATGAGGCAGAATCCTCCCCCAATGTGTCCCAGACTTCTCTCCCCACTCTGAACCTCCATTTCTCCCTCCCCTGCACCCAAATGTTAGGAAAATAGCTATGAACAGAGGGTGCTTTTGTCTGCGTCGGCAGCAGGATCAGAACGGTCCCCTCCCCTGGGCCTCCCCCCCATGCTCTGACAGCCTGTTCCGTGTTGCCCCCCCTCCAGCGTACAGTGCAGAAAAGTGCCAAGTACATCTGCCTGGCAAACAAGGACTGCCCTGTGGACAAGAGGCGGCGGAACCGCTGCCAGTTCTGTCGCTTCCAGAAGTGCCTGGCTGTGGGCATGGTGAAGGAAGGTGGGTGGTTAGATGGGGCCCTTGGCATACGTGACCTGATAGGGTGGGGGGCAGCCAGGGTTACCAGGCATCTGCACCGAATTCCAGCTCCTAGCTCTAGACTCCAGCCCCTAATAGCAGATGGCAGCTTCCACCTGCCTTGCTGGCAAGGGTGGGGTGGGCCTGAGTTCTCCGTTTTTGACTTCTCAGAAGCGGTGTGTGTAGTGTGGGCTGAAGACCCCTTCTCCAGATTCCTTCATTTCCTACTTCATCACTCACTGCCTGTTTCTCTACAGTTGTCCGGACAGACAGCCTAAAGGGGCGGCGTGGCCGGCTGCCTTCCAAACCTAAACAACCCCCAGACACCTCTCCTACCAATCTCCTTACTTCTCTCATCCGGGCACATTTGGACTCTGGGCCTAGCACTGCCAAGTTGGATTATTCCAAGGTGAGGTCCCGCCCACCCAGCCTGCTCCTGGGAACATATGCTGCAATGTCTTTGTGCATGTTAGGGAAGTTTCTCTTTCCAGGGCAACATTAGAAAATGGGGAACCCCCTCGGCATTGACTAGCTGGAGAAACGCACTGGGGTGGACTTGGAGTCGGGGAATCAATGGCAAACAACTGCCTTAGCCCTGGGTTTCCCTGTGGGGATTGCTGAGCACATGGGCCCAGTGTAGGGCTCATTTGCATTCATGGATCTGGTGTCCCAGAGGGACACAGCTGTGTGTGTGCAGCAGCGGGTGGTGCTTACCTCTTCGTGGCCCCTCTCAGTTCCAGGAGCTGTTGCTGCCCCACAACGGGAAGGAAGATGCAGGCGACGTGCAGCAGTTTTATGACTTGCTCACGGGCTCCCTGGAAGTTATCCGAAAGTGGGCAGAGAAGATCCCAGGCTTTGCCGAGCTTTCCTCCGGAGACCAAGACCTGCTGCTGGAGTCGGCCTTCCTGGAACTCTTCGTTCTCCGCCTGGCCTACCGGTGAGCTGCCCACCCTCCAACCTCCTGGTCCTAGCCCTGCTGCCCCAGCCTGTCCGTACCCGAGTCCTGACTGTCATCTACCTCCTGCCAGATCTAAGCCTGATGAAGAGAAGCTCATCTTTTGCTCAGGCCTGGTGCTACACCGGCTACAGTGTGCCCGAGGCTTTGGCGACTGGATTAACAGCATCCTAGCCTTCTCACGGTCCCTGAAAAGCTTGGCTGTTGATGTCCCTGCCTTTGCCTGCCTGTCTGCTCTGGTCCTTATCACTGGTGAGTAGCAAGCACCAGACTGGGCCCAAGGGTTGCAGGTCCATTGGGTAGGTGGCATCTAGCACTATGGGGCCCCTAGAGTGCCTGCAGCATTTGGAATGCCAGGACCTGGAGAGAGACTCAGCTGTGTCTGCCTCTAAAGCTCACATCAACCTTCGAATGACCCCAGGCTCCCCGAGATACAGCCATAGATGCTGGGTATCTGATGTAGGGTTTCAGTTAGTTTTGAAATCTCCCTGTCAATCAATCTTACAGCATACAGAAAAGTGCACGCATGAAGTTTTCACACATTGCAATTGGATAGCCAGCACTGTGGTCCAGAATGGAGGAGCAGCCTCAGCTTTGTTAGGCTCCCTCCCTTGTCTCTGTAAGAGGCAGCCACTCTGCCAGCCACAATGGTTGTGCGTGTCGTGGCTATTGCTATATGTGTATCATGGTGTAAGGGCTCTGTAGCTACAATGGCTGCGTGTGTCGTGGGTATTGGTATATGTATCACGTGGAAGGGCTCTGGTGACATATGTAGAGGTTCCTGGTATCTTCTTCCACCTCCTTTTCCACTTAAATTTCTTAGAGGACCTACCTGAATAGAAGAACAAAATCAGAAGAGCTGGGGCTTGAGGGGTAATGAGGCTTGTACTTGGCTCTCCTTGATAGCAGCCCCGAGTCACCGCTGTGCAGCTCCAGGCTTTCTTAGCACTACGTAGAACCTGTACCCCAGAAGACCTGGACTAAGGTTTTATTTTGTTTTCAAGCTGTCTGGGCCTCATTCTCTCTTGGGATTTTGGAAGCGATGGTTTTAGATGCTAACCAGTCAGGGGAATGGGTTCTTGTGGCACATGCTAGGGGAGCTATGCAAGTTTGTGGGAGAGAGGGGGTCCACTGAGTGGCTTCCTCTGCATTCCCTGCTGCAGACCGACACGGGCTCCAGGATCCTCGGCGTGTGGAGGAGCTGCAGAATCGCATTGTCAGCTGCCTGAAGGAGCACATGGCTGCTGTGGTGGGAGAGCCTCAGCCAGCCAGCTGCCTGTCACGTCTGCTGGGCAAATTGCCTGAGCTTCGGACCCTGTGCATCCTAGGCCGGCACCGCATCCTCTACCTCAAGCTGGAGGACTTGGTGCCCCCTCCACCTATTGTGGACAAGATCTTTATGGACACATTGTCTTTCTGATCCCTACCCCGAACACGTGTGCACATATGTGTGCGCTCTCATGTCACCCATGTGCCTTTAAGCCCACGGATCCCCAGAACACCCAGCTCCCAGCCTGGTTTTGAGCTAAGACTGACTCGCTTCCTCACTCCAGAAGATGTACAGGGCGTTCAAGACCCGGGGGAAGGTGTGTGTTCATGGGGGTGACCCCACTATTTGTCTTATCCCTGTAGCTCAGTCCTGGCCTTCGTGGTTTTTTTGTAAGATAAAAACATTTTTAACACATACCACTCTGCTGTAAATGAGCTGAAGTTGCTGTAAATACATAAAGGAAGAGGTGAGGTGGGGGTTGGGAGGAAGGGATGGGACCCTCACCAGCCTGGGCAAGCCTTTCAGCCTCCACCTTGAGATTTCTTCCACTTTCCTTCCACATGTACATAGCTGTCACTCAAGGTGAATGGCAGATTCTGATTTATATTTGTGTATTTTTCCTGAATTTATAGGATGTGACTTTTCTGATTAATATATTTAATATATTGAATAAAAAAGACATGTAGCTGAAAACGAGTCCTTTCTCTGATGTCACTGCACAGCCACTGCACTTACATAAGAGATGGCAACTTCGCCGGGCAAATCTTAGCTGTTGCCAGCGAGTTGGTGAGCCTCAGCTACTCCCTTGTAGGTGGCAGAGCCTGCTTTATGCAGTCATTAGCGAAACTCCGGAACTAGCTTTGCAAACACACACATCTATCTGTACAGCACATACGGTGTGGACTTGCTGTGTATCTCAGTTGGCTTCACGCTGATGATACTCCCACTTCCACTTCCTGAGTGTTGGGATTATAGATGTGCACCCTGTGCTTGCCTGTGGAACTAGTTCCTAACGTGGGAAGCCTCTGCCCTGCTGGCTGATGGGCCCACGGTGGCTGGTAACTATCCCAGGAATTAGGGTAGCAGTCATAGGTCTAGCCTCAGGTCTCAGGTCTGTCTCTTAGGGTTCTGACCCTGGGGTAAAGGATGATTTAGGATTTAGGCTTTGATGGCTGGTTAAGACAGGTTTCCCTGTGCATCTTTGGCTGTCCTGGAACTCTCTATGGATCAAGCTGGCCTTGAACTCACAGAGATCCACCTGCTTCTGCCTCCCAAGTGCTGGGGTTAAAGGCATGCACCACCACTTGGCTAAAGCATTTTTAAAAATATTTATTGGTTAAAAAATAAAAAAGCCAGACGGTGGCGGGGGGGGGAGGGGGCATGCCTTTTATCTTAGCACTTGGGAGGCAGAGGCAGGCGGATCTCTGTGAGTCCAAGGCCAGCGCCAGCCTGGTCTACAGAACAAGTTCCAGGACAGGCTCCAAAGCTATAGAGAGAAACCCTGTCTTGAAAAAAAAAAAAAAAAAAAAAAAAAAGAAAAAGTCCATGGTTTTAGCTAGGTGGTGGTAGTGCACACCTTTTATCCCAGCACTAGGGAGGCAGAGGCAGGTGGACTCTGAGTCTATAGATCGAGTTTCAGGACAGCCAAGGCTAAATGGAGAAATCCTGTACAGAAAAACAACATTGCTGTGTGTGCATGCACATGAGCATGCATGTCTATGTATGTATGTGTACATATATGCCATAGCATGTGTGTGGAAGTCAGAAAACAACTTGGAGGAGCTGGGTCTCAGTGAGTCCCAGTTTGAGGCTAAGCTGTTTTTTTTTTTTTAATATTTTCCTTTAGTTTTTTAAACTTTTATTTTATGAGCATTGGTTTTTCGAGACAGGGTTTCTCTGTGGTTTTGGAGCCTGTCCTGGAACTAGCTCTTGTAGACCAGGCTGGTCTCGAACTCAGAGATCCGCCTGCCTCTGCCTCCCGAGTGCTGGGATTAAAAGCGTGCGCCACCACCGCCTGGCTATGAGCATTGGTTTTTGCCTGCATGTATATCCTTGTGAGGGTATCAGGTTCCCTGAAACTGAAGTTACAGATGGCTGTGAGCACCATGTGGGTGCTGGGAATTGAACCCAGGGCCTCTGGAAGAGCAGCCAGTGCTCTTAACCTCTGAGCCATCTCTCCAGACCTTTTCAATTGGAGGAGGCGGAAGGGGGTGATGCTGGTGGCCTCATATACACTCAACAACACTCTACCACTAAGTTGTACCCCCAGGCTTGTGCGAGGCGTGTGTTGATGTGTGTTCCTGAGCCTAGGAACAGTGGCAGCTGGTCTCCATCCTCCATGTTCCCTCTGTGAGTTCCAGTGGCAGGCTCCGTGCAGTGGGCAGTGCTTGGATTCCTGGCAGGAACTTTTTGTTTTTGATTTGGTTTGGTTTTGGTTTTTCGAGATAGGGTTTCCCTGTGTAACAGTCCTAGCTGTCCTGGAACTAGCTCTTGTGGACCAGGCTGGCCTTGAACTCATGGGATTCGCTTGCCTCTGCTTCCCAAGTGCTGGGATTAAAAGTGTGCACCACCACTGCCCGGCGCGTGGCAGGAACTTAAGTGACACCTGTGCCCATGTCCTCAAAATGTTCTCCAGCTCCCTCACTCCTCAGCAGCTCCATTAGCTGGCTCAGAAGCAGGTGCCGGTGCTGCAAACGTAGCTCGGTGAAGGAATGTTTTCCCAGAATGTGTGAGGCCCTGTGTTTGATAACCAGAACCTGAGGAGAGGTGGAGACGGTATCCAGAGAACCATGAATCTAAACTGACAGCAGCCATAGGCCTGTGGCAAGAGGCAGGGCCTGGCCACTGTCACTGTGCTGTGTTAGCATTGATTCATTTACAGAATCTCACAGGATTCCTCACCACTTCTGACCCAAGATCCAAGGCAACATCTCCATGGCCTCTTGATGCTGGAAATTGGATTAGACAAGGCAAAACTGTCTATTCTCGAGTTGGGAAGAAGTGAGACCTCCTTCCAGGCTCCAACTCCACGCGATTCCCTAAGGAACTCTGGCCATGCACTCTTCCTTGAGATCTGGGAATACATTTCAGCCCCAGGCCTAAAAAAGGTGAATGGGAAGACCATGTCTCGCATGGTGGATCCTCCCCCCCCCCCTTGGTGCTGCGGACTTGCAAACATGGACTCTGGAGCAGTAACTAGTCCCGAGTGAGCTCCAACAGCACCCCAGCCCCTGTCTCCACTCCCCTTTGCTGGCCGAAGCCACTTCTTCTTCTTCTTTTCTTTCTTTTTTTTTTTTTTTTTTTGGTTTTTCGAGACAGGGTTTCTCTGTGGCTTTGGAGCCTGTCCTGGCACTAGCTCTGTAGACCAGGCTGGGCTCGAACTCACAGAGATCCGCCTGCCTCTGCCTCCCAAATGCTGGGATTAAAGGCCTGAGCCACCACCACCTTCTTCTTTTCTTTTTCTTTTTTTTTTTTTTTTTTTTGGTTTTTCGAGACAGGGTTTCTCTGTGGCTTTGGAGCCTGTCCTGGCACTAGCTCTGTAGACCAGGCTGGACTCGAACTCACAGAGATCCGCCTGCCTCTGCCTCCCGAGTGCTGGGATTAAAGGCGTGCGGCACCATCGCCCGGCTCCGAAGCCACTTCTTCACTCGCCTCAGTTTCTTCATTTCTTCGATGACCCTGGCTGGAAGCAGAACGGTAGTAGCTGATGGCCAGACTAGCTCCCTCTCATTTTCTGTGTGCTTTTAGTACGATAAATGTAAAAACAGGTAGTGCTGAGAAAGGCAAAAGGATCCATATTTTCATGCTATTTATGGGTGGAGCAAAGGCGATCTTGGTCTTCAAGGACTTTAAGCCAGCCTATTGGGCTGCAGTGGGTGTATTTTGTCCTCCATGGCAGATGAGGACAATAGGGAATTCCCGATCCTTTGGCCTCCACTACCTTACAGTCAGGAGCCACCATGACTTGCTTTTCTGTTTGGTTTAAGACAGTTTCACAGTGTAGCTCAGCTTACCTTGAATTCTCACAACAATTCTCCTGCCTCAGCACCCTGAGTGCTGGGATTATAGGCCTGTACCTAGATAAACATCAGCCAGTGTGTTTTACCAATGATGCTAATCCTCTTCCAAGGAAGAAATGACTTCCCCAGGGTTTGTAAGTGGCTGCCCTGGGTGTGTGTGCAGTTTCCTGACCACTGGGCTGCCCAGCCCGTGCTTTGCAAATAAAAGACTCTCCACTACCGCAGCTCCTTTCCAGGACTCTGGCACTTGGGGCACAGGGTGGGAGCTGACCTGCGACTCCTGCCCTGCCCCACCCGAAGGCTGAGCCTGGAGGCAGGCTCTTTCTTTCCACCAGCAACTGGAAGAACTGGCCTCCAAGTCTTGCTAGGGGCTGAGAGGGTGAACAAGGGGGCATTGAGCCTATTGGGGCCTTACAATGGCGGCTCTGTCCTTGCTGGCCGGGGGCTGGGCCCGTTTCCGATGGGGACAATAGTCAAAAGGCAGTGACTCTGGCAGGGCCTGGAATCCCGGGCGGGATTTTCCAAGGCCTCAAAGCTTGCTGTTTGTCCTCATGGGAGACCCAGGAAACCTGCCTCCCTACTGCCCCCCACCCACGCTGGGCCTAGTGCCCAGAGGCTCTGGTCCCCTCCCCAGCCCTGAGGTGACTGAGGTGGGCACAGCAGCAATTCATTTTCCCTGTAGCTCTGGGGTCCTGAGGATTGCCTCACGTCTAGCTACCCAGTTTCCATTTTGGAGGCAGCGGTGGAGGTCAGCCTTGAGATGAAAGTCATATGCTGTTGTTGAGGTGTTGTTGAGGTCTACAGGGACTGCTTTTACCCAGCATGCTCTGCTTCATGGCCCAGTAACGAAGAGGGCTTGTGAGGTGGGAGGCCACTGTGTGGTCCTGGGCAGTGGACAGAGACAGGTCAGTGTTGTGTCCTGGCCAAGGGTGGTTCCTGATGGCTTCATAGGAGAGTTGAGCCAAGGATTCTAGAGGTCTTTAGCTTCAGGATCTGAGTGAGCCTGGTCCTTCCCCTACAAGTTTGACATGAAGGAGTGCAGGACCAATGGCCTCTTCAGAGCGTGACAGGACAGGTGAAGTCTACCTGCTTGGTTTTCAGTTGTGACCAGGCTTGTTTCTATTGCTCCAGAGCACAGCTAATGGCTCTTCTCTCGTCTAGGAACCTGAGTTCAGCTTCAGGTGACCTCTAGTTCTACACTAGACATAGGCTCTCAGGCTCCTGCCCGTGCCCTTCCATAGCTCCAAGTTTGGGAATGGTCTGGTAAAGGCCTCGAATGGCTAGCAGGAATTTAAACTTCAGAGCCAAGTGAAAGAAAAAGCCTCTTCTGAGGCAGGCTCTCCAGCTGGACTCCAGGCTGGTCCTGCCTTCCAGGGGCTCCAGGAGCCCTTGGCCTTGACCTCTTCCTTGTGCCTGCCTCCCCTAGCTCTTACTACCTTGTCTTCCTCACCACTCTGGCTCCCCTCTTGTCCTGCTGGACCCTGAACCTGGCAGGCTGGGGCGGGGCACTTGAGGTCTCTTCAAGGTCTGACCCAGACACTGGCAATATCTAGCCTCCACTCAGGACATAAATCAGGCTCCCTGTGGCTGTGGGGGTTGTGGGTGGCAGCTGAGCCAGTTAAGGGAGGGTGTTGAGGGGGCAGTCCTGGTTGGTACATGCTGTGTTAGCAGGGA